GTATGGGAGTACAGCTGAAGAAAATACCGAAAACTAATGATTTATTAACGATATAAGTTGAGTATTATATCATTAATAAATCATTAGTTTTCGGTATTTTCCTCAGCTGTACTCCCATACTCAACTTATATCATTAATAAATCATTAGTTTTCGGTATTTTCCTCAGCTGTACTCCCATACTCAACAACAGCTGAGGAAAATACCGAAAACTAATGATTTATTAATGCCGAACTAAATAATATAATAAACATTTACGTAATTTCTCTTACTTTTTTACTCTAATATTTCAACTTCATTTATAAATGTTCTTACTTTTGTCTTTAGTTTACCGTGATTACCTTTGTTTCTCATCATCACAGTGAGAACCAGAAAAATGTGGACCAGGTGTTTTGAACTTTATTTTAAAAATCGGTCTGTAGTCTGACAAAGAGAGGTTGTTGTTTTTATTTTAGAGTTCTGGGTTTAAGTTCAATCTATATTTCAGAGTTTAGCTTTAAATTCAATCTCTGCTCTACAGTTAGTTTATGGCCGTTATTTATTTTGCAGTTCAATCTGTATTTTGCAATTCAGGGTTTACGTTCGATCCCTATTTTGCAATTGAGGGTTTCAATTTGGTCCATATTTTTACAATATATATATATATAGCTTGAATTCTTTTACGGTTCTGGATGAAAACGACTAACAGTGTTTTAATTGAAGAAATATAGGTTATTATCTACTGTAATCCTAGAAAGAAAGAAAAAACAAAAAAAAACAGTGTTCATATGAATTAAATAATTTTGGTACCCAAATCAAAATTAGGCTGTAATCATTATCAATAAATCTGTATAAATAAAACTGTTGTACATAATCTCTACTCGAGATAGATGATCACTGAATAAGATGTGATCCATATAGGAACTCGTGGCGCCATCTAGGTTTTTAGTTCAAATGCATTGGAAGTTTCGATTAGGGATGTCGTTTCTTTACAGATCAGAGCTTAATCTAATTGTGTGCAGTAATCCTGTATTTTTATACTACTTTCTAGTGACATTCGGCTGGCTTTGTATTAAGTTAAGAGCTATTAGAATAGTTGATATTTTAACTTGGTTAAGTTTAAAAATCATTCAGTAATTAGAAGACAGATAATTTATAAAGCAAGTGGCAAGCCTGTTGTGTCTAAACCATAATTAAAAGTAAATTTTCGGTGTTATTTAATGTACCTTTACAAAAAGGTTTCTCAACAACGAACTTGAATTTATTAAGTATTTAAGATTAGCGTAAAACATTACTCAAGTGCTTCTTTCTAGCTACAGTGAACTAGGGTGCATAATGCTGGATAAGAATAAAATATCCGAAAACAACAAAATATTTTTTATTACATAAGTCATAATTTTTTCAACACAAGACTCCACCCCCAGAACATCCTGCATCCTGAGTTAGGCCCCCATCAACTGAATCTATAGATACTAAGTACCTTAACAATATTGTGTATCTGCTACGACTCTCCCCCCCCCCCGACACATTCCTAAGTTTTGGAACCCCTAAAGTAGATAATTTATTGTATCCGCCATAGGGCATCATTAATTATTTCATGTTCTCCCTGCGGGCCCCCCAGTGGCACAGCGGCATGTCTGCGGACTTACAACGCTAGAATCCGGGTTTCGATACCTGTGGTGAGCAGAGCACAGACAGCCCATTATGTAGCTTTGTGCTTAATTACAAACAAACAAATCTCCCTGTGGTAATAACGGAAATAATCATTCCTGTACTTGAAGGCCACAGTAACTTTACGGAAAGTAAACGCCCTATGCGTTTCAAAAATCCCTAAAATAACTGTAAAATAGAAATTTATTAACGGTGAAGCTGAGAAATTACAAGAATAGCGATCGAAATGTTAGTGTATGATTTCTTAAATTATCAGATGTTAGATTACCATCGTTCCAAATAACGCATTTCTTCTGCTGAGTAAAAAAAAAAACACAAAAATCTCGTAAATAAGATGCCGAAAATTTAATATCCTCTGCGCTTAACAAGTTTCGTTTATAAATTTTTATTTTCTATCTACCAAGAAAAATAAGTCAAGGTAAAAACGCTTCCTATCATAACTTGAGTGATAAAAAATAGAGTGCGGCGAGGCAGCTGATAAGCTGGAATAACAGTTCTGAAGCGTACATGACAGATTACGGTACGGCAGGAGGCTTGCTTCTTGCTGAGACCAAACACTTTCATTAAGAATATGGAAGCACACACTCCCCCACGTAGGACACCAATCACTTGCCCCTTCTACACAAAACTAATGCTCCCTTTGATCCCCCGGTTCCACTGACAAGAGATAAGTTTGTTTGTTTGTTTTTGAATTTCGCGCAAAGCTACATGAGGGCTATCTGCGCTAGCCGTCCCTAATTTTGCAGTGTAAGACCACCGCCATCTCTTGGGCTACTTTTTTACCAACGAATAGTGAGATTTACCGTAACGTTATAACGCCACCACGGCTGAAAGGGCGAGCATGTTTGGTGGGACGGGGATTCGAACCCACGACCCTCAGATTGCGAGTCGAGCGCCCTAACCACCTGACCATGCCTGGCCACTCTATGCTTATGAGCCCTATTCTCTCTTCCTAAATGTTTATGCCTCAATCTGTGCTTATGAGCCCCATTCTCTCCTCCTAACATTGTCATTGTTCAGAATAATTTCAGGTTCTATTTTAACTTACTTAATGTTAGTTAATGTTCTCCGGTAGTTTATAACGCCTACATGTGAGGTTTGATCCCTACAATGGGAACAGCGCCGATAGCTCATTGTGAAGCTTTATGCTTAAACAAAACCAAACACTGTTGTTAATAGATAATAATTCAGAAACTTCTACGTAATTTAACGTAAAAATGCCACTAAACTTAAAACATACAGCAATGTGACCAATTATCTTTAGGGAGTTTCAGGTTGAAGGGTTAATTCAGTTATATCACCCCCTTTTTTTTTCTATCAAACGTGATCAGAGAGATTGCATACCCTCGTCCCGCCACTCCCTTTTCAAGATTACATGCGTTTATGTTGGATAACGTAAAATTTCACCTTCGCAAATTCAGAAAATCCTTTTTTGATCCATAATGATCAATGATCCGGATGAGGAGTCTCAAATCGAAAACCGCGAAAATGCCCTATCTCCCCATTATATATATATAAAATAAAAATGTTTCAAATTGATCCACAATCCGGATCCGGACCAAATTTGGGGAGGACTGTTTCATACTAACTTCTCATCTTGTGTAAAAATTTCATTTGCATCAGTCTATTAGTTCTTGAGATTATTGCGCGGAAACACAGACACACAAACACACACACGAATCCGATTGCAATACCCTCGCCTTCCTTCGGAGGCGACGTTAATAATCAACTCACTCAAGACAAAATTAGAAAAAAAAATCTCTTTGTAAGTTTCTAAGGGCAACAAGATGTTGCTGTTTACTTATAAATCTGAAGACGAACTTCCTGTGGTTTTTATAGTCTTTGGAGGTGAACCGTTTTGGAATCACAGGCGATTAAAGAGATACTATTTCTCATGTGTTTTTATTGGCTGTAATGTCATTCTGTAATGCCAACAAGCTGTTTCAACTTTATGATTTCTTGGCATACTGCTCTAGTGCCATGAGGATTGTTATATATTATAGAAATAGCCATTTTGAAACAGTAACAAATAACAAAGTAACAAATCTATGCCTTCCAAAGAGAAAGATTCGATTAATCCTAAATATTGCGTTGTTATGACGCAGGCATTTTCAGGGAAAACAGTCTTTGTTTGTTTGTAATTAAGCACAAAGCTACACAATGGGCTATCTGTGCTCTGCCCA